AATAAGTGTTGGTGAGCATGTGGAGAAAAATGAACCTGTGGATATTATTGGTGGGAATGTAGACCAGTTTAATCCTTATGGAATACAAAATGGGCATTTCTCAAAATATTAAAACTAAATCTATCATATGATCAAGCAATGCCACCCTGATGCAGAGATGCAAAAACACTTATTTGAATAAATACATACACTGACATGTTCATTGCAGCATTATTTTCAATATATAGGCCATGGAAACAATCTGTCGCTCAAAGTAGATGAGTAAATTAGGAAGATATGTTATATGTACACAGTAGAATACTGCTTATTTATTTAAAAGAGAACAGATGCATGACTGACTAGTGAGAACATGGAAAGGTCTGGCCTGCAAACTAAGTTAGAGGGAAAAAGAAATACTGAATGATATAATTTATATGTAAGATGTTGAGAAACAAAACAGATTCAGATAAATAATAAAAAAAAAAGACTCCAGAAATCTGATTGTACAACTGTGGCTGCCAGAGGGGGGAGGGAATAAGGGGAGAGCAAAGCGAAGAGGGCCCAAGGTGCTAAAGTGAAGGAGTTGTGGAGACATGTGGTGGATGTAGCATAGTAACCAACAATTGGTTACTATACTACATAGTAAGCATAGTATACCTCTGAGTCATATATGACATTATAAACCAAAGTTACCTCAACAAACACATAAATAAATGTCACAAACCTTCCAGTTGCTGAATGGGGCAAACATTAACAAAACAGGCTCTCCCCAGGGTGGGCCCTGTGGAATTTTGATCTCACAGAATTGAAGAAACCTCCATGGGTTCCTATCCTAGGCTAAGAAGCAAGGTAGACAGCCCAGAGTAGACTGTGTGGGAGTGCTGGAGATATAGGACATTTTGTAAGTGGAGGATTTAAAGTACTGTAATTCACCAAAGCTGATAGAGGAGTGTGACTTTCAGAGGAACTAGGCTTGAAGTATCAGCAAGCGACTTAGGCAGCGATCCGGGAAATACAGGACTCATGCTCAGGAGAAATAAGATTGGAGCTATAACTTAATAATTTTGAATGCTTTAAAGGCCTTAAGAGGGAAAGGCAGGGGTCAAGAGAAGAACCCGAAGACTGTGTTGAGTTCAGAATAAGGACAGCTTTCAGAGGAAGAAGGGGTCTAGAGACCAAGGAGGTTTCCAGAGATCAACATTCCGGAGCCCAGATACTCTCCCTTTGGATTATGAAATATGTTACAATTAAATATTTTTTTTTTGTGGGAGCACATTATCAAACACTTTGGGAGGAAATGGGAGAAAGAATTTGAGCTTACTACTGAAGATCAGGGATTATATACCTGTGCTAATCCACAGTGTAATTACTCATCCTTCCATGTTAGAGGGTTGGTAGTAGAACAAGTGCTCAATATGAATTGGGTGTATAAATCACAACAATAAAAACCATTTGTTTTGAAAATTGGACAATTTAACAGAAATGGACAAATTTCTACAACTCTACAACCACCCAAAGCTAAATAAAGAAGAAATAGAACAGTTAAACAGACCAATTACA